TCACTCCTGCGATCACTCCTGCGATCACTCCTGCGATCACTCCTGCGATCACTCCTGCGATCACTCCCCACTACAGCACGCACATACGGACAGTCCACCGGTCACTCCTGCAGTCACTCCAGCGGTCACTCCCGCTAACATGCAAACACATACTCATTTGTTCCTGTGTGTTCCTCTGGGTACTGTTTGGGCACTTTAGAATTTATGATATAATTTAAGATATCGTTTGATTTGCAATAAAAGTAATTTACGACTGTGCCCATACTGTCTGCTCGTCTGGAGTCATAAGTCATGTCTGTATGAGTAAGCACTGGTGTTTGGGAACTGTGCACGCCAAGTAATATCGTACAAACACGCTTCAGGGCACTGCCAGTAGCAGCAATGGGGACGGGACTCACGTGGAGGCTGTGTGTGCTCCTGCAGCTGTTTCTGTCCAGATGCAAACTGTCTGGCATCGGCCACGGAGCTGAAGAGAGCGGCAAAGGGGTTTCGGGAGAAGCTCTGGTTGTTATTGCCCTGGTCGGTCATTTCACTGGGGCAGCAACTCCATCCACAGGCACTGCCCAGCAGCCTGTGCACAAACAAACAACCCTCGTGACACCGTGCACAAACACATATCCCTTGTTACACTGCGCACAAATACATAACCCTCGCGACACCGTGCAAAAACACATAACCTTTGCGACACCGCGCACAAACACATAGCCCTCGTGACACAGGGCACAAACACATAGCCCTCGTGACACAGCGCACAAACACATAGCCCTCGTGACACAGCGCACAAACACATAACCCTTGTGATACTGCGTACAAACACATAACCCTTGTGACACTGTGCACAAACAGACAACCCTCGAGACACTGCGTACAAACACACTGCAGTGACAGTTCCCAGCACTGACTGAGAAGTACCTCACTCACACCCCACTGCACTGGCTGACACAATCAGATAACTAACCCAGCTGACTCTTAACTCGCATATGTACACAAATACTCCAGGCTCAGAATACTGACACACAGGCACACACAGACTCCACTGTGCCACACTTCACTTTTCTAAATCAATCAGCACCTGCCCCTGTGCCTAATCAGAGAGAAAAGCACTCCTTGCTTACCTGTAAACAGACACTCCTTCCCTGCCAATTCTGCCAGAACCTGTACATAAGCAAGGAGACCTGCGCTCACCAGAGAGGCTGGGTACTGCACAACACAGCCACACAGACAGGTGACGCGTGGTCTTCTTCCCATACTCCACTGTATGAGAACACTGAACTCTGCACCACTGCAGCACACCAAGACTGCCAGGGAACAGTCTAGGTAGAAATGGAACTATTAATTTCTTACCTCTGTCGATGTGCTGCCAAGACACAAAAGCCTATTCATTTGCTTGAGTATAACAACAGGGCTGATGGGGCTTTCTCCTGCAATGTGACTGAGACTCAGAATGTAAAAAAAATGTGCCAGTGTTCTCTGGCACCTTGGGCACCCTGCCAAACTGGAGCAATATCTAAAGGCCAGGGAGCTGTCCTGAGCACTGGCTATTGCTGCAGAAGGCTAATTGGTCTTCTTACGAGTCCCCTCCACCACCGGGAGAGGTCCAGCCCTGCTCTGTGTCTACAGTGCAGTTAGATCAGACCTGGGGGTCACAGTGACAAAGCGTCTCAAGTAGATTCCTCTCAGCCTAGACAATGACAATGCATTCTCCACAGTGACATGCCGCACCCTCCAAAATCAATGCGAACCAAAAAGAGTAAAAGGCGAACTCTTAAAGGAAAGATCTTTTTCCCCAGCAGGTAACTCACAGCAAGTCAGCTGAGACTGTGCACAGCCGCAGACCGACCATGTCAATCTACACTGGAAACAAGGGTACAGGAACGCTATCATCATATTCCTCTTAATGCCCAGCCTCTGAGCAGCACACGGTAGGTAATCCAAGTTACCTACTGCATTCATGTCCTCTAGACTGCTGCCTCAGCATAGTCTCCTTCCATGTCAGTGTAATTACATGAGCCACAACTGTGATGAAGGTACTCTGCTCTTCACAACAACTTTGACGCGATGATGATGATACCACTGCTGGGATGCTGCTCATTTGTCTCCTCCAGACTGTTAAAAGCCCCTTTTTTCGATGTTCGCTGTTAACAGTTTAATATTCTTAGAAGCTGTGACTTCTAATAAAAACATCTGCAGCTGCCACGATTCACTCTTTGAGTAAGCGACTGTGTTCATCTCCCCGAGTGAAAAACACTGCCCGAAACTCTCTAAAACAGGGGCCTGGCATGCTCTTGATTTTGTCCTCTCACTTAGATCTCAGCTGCTTAAATTATTTCATTAACAGCATGATTGTTAAGACTTCTTACTACACCTGAAGGTGTCATATAGGTAACTGCACTTTTCCTAAAGTGTGTTTTTTTTTTAGGGATCAACTGTATAAGACCAAAAGAAAAATCTTTTAGATGTCACAGTAAACTGTGACCCTGAACTGGATAAAGTGGTTATCAAAAGTCAAGTGGTGTCTAATTAAGATAATAACCAGGTCTGCTGTTTACTACACTACGTAGGTTGAACCACAAACCAGCAGACACTGTTCCCTCCAGCAAATGAGTCTGACAACCCTTCTCTAATGTCTGTCCCTGAACTTCTGTTACCTGTTATTAGATACAGTAGACTGGCACAATCACACAGCAGCACCACAATATAATGTTTAATACTGTTATAATGTTTAATACATAAATCAAAAACAATGCCCATGGCAGAGGACTGAACCCTGCCACGAGCTCGTTTTGTAAGATTACGACGTTATGTAACTGTAACACCACTAAATTCATAAAAGATGTACGCACTTTAAAGTTATTAAAAATAAATGTTTCCAAGATAATTTTGAAGCTAAATAACTTCATTTATTTGGAAAGCGCATTTCAAAATAGGAAGAATACTGAAGTCCTATTTATTTGTCTTATTTGTGCATAAACGTCCACACATTATAACCTATACTAATGCAGAGTTTTTAAATAATTATTTCGTCGATCGATAAATTACATTGATAGCGCAATGTTAAATAAACATTACATCATTGCAATATTCGTTGTGAATAAGTGTTCTGCTGATCTTTATCCTCCTCATGATGAAGACGTCGCGATCACAACTCTGACACTGTCCTGATAATACACCCCAGTGAAACTGACAAAGCTTTAAATAAGTTAATTGGGGTATGCAATACACAAACGGAACTCAGTTTCAGTGTCGTTGCATCTGATGAAATGCACTAATGTCAGCCTCCTACTACAACATAACACAAACAATTTGTCTTGTTTTTTTCTAATCGATGGTGAATAACAACTTAAAACTGAAGCTCGTAAAAAACAGGAGGAATTAGGAAATGAAAAGGTTGCTAAATCATTTAGCGTTGTGATGTTTACAGTGAAGTAACTTTCAACGACTCCTTTTGCGATGTACATTTGGATTTATCATGCAAACATGGCTTTAAACACATTAAAACATATGGCGAGCTGCAGATATTGAAGGCGAGTTGACAGGTGCTGTGGATTGTAAAGTTGAGCGTGGCATTACGTTACAGTTTAATCAAAAGTGACCATCAAAACATAACAACTATAACAAAAACATGTGTACACTGACCGATTTCATAACATATAATTGCCTCCTTATCAGTAAAGTTTAGATTATTGACCTTAAGATCGATGACAGTAGAGGGAAATGCAGTTCTCTACATCCAGCGACACCAGTTACCAGCAGAGACCACCGGGCATAAAAACATTAATATCACTATTTACCAGTTTTATGATCTTCTTGTTGTAACACTGAAATGGCCCACCTTACCCAAAAAGACGATCGCCTTACCTGGCCACCTTTTTTTTGCTCTCTCTAGTAATCACACCGTATTTGCCTTTTCCTTTGGTACTACACAAGGACCCTCAGTTCCTCGATCAACAGAAATGAGTAAAACGTCATCAGTATGAGACGGCAGGAGCTGAAGCGTCTTAAAGGGAAAGGCTACAGGAGGGCGGTGGAATATAGGTACGCCGAATGAAAAGCGGTTTCACCAAGAACAGAAAGTGCTGAAGTAACTCGAAAACATATTGGGTTACTTGTGTATCTTTTATTGAATGTGGAATCCAAAGTTTTCTTTTTTCCGGGCAAGGGAAGACCCTTTTAAAACAGAAATCACATTAAAATGATATTTAAGATGCCAGAATATTGAAGGTTGAATTGCAGCCTTAGTAAACTTTGTAAAAGACAAACGTAACCACTGTCTGAGACTGTTACGTGTGCCAAAAAGCTAGTCTTGACTTGAACATATACACGATTGCTTGAGAGGGCCCGAGTGTGTGAGTTTAGGTGTGCATAAGTGTAACTGGATTTTAAACTCAGAAACACCGAAGCGAGTTTCTGGATGTGATTTATAGACCAATACAATTTCAGGACTTCATTCCAAGCAGATTGGTTTCACAGGGCAAAAGTGTGGTATCGTTTTGTAATATGCTTCAGTGGCAATAAAACATTATTTTGTGTCATTTTCGCGTGAGCATTAAACAACGGCAACAATGTCATTTCATTTCGAGACCTGAATAAAAATGATTCAGACTTTATACTGTGTAACTTCTTTTTAACTATACAACACAAATGCACGTCACAAATATGTTTCGTTTTACTTACCAGGAAGTGGACTGACATATATCCAATTTATTAAATAAGAGGATAGAAATTCAATAAATAACAGAAATATAAAATCAATATTTCTGCAGACTCACAAGTCAATCTATAATAACTAGGAAAATAAAGATTTTTAAAATCACATTTAATATCCCATAGAATGTGTAAGACATTTACATTTAGCCTTAGCATTTCTTTCAGTTTTAGATTATTAACAGAATTTTAAAGATGAGAACGGGAGTATTCTGCATCATCTGAGATCTCGCCTGTTACCATCTGATATGTTTTGATCTCTACTGTTCACAAAGCATTTGTCCTCGATTCAGTTCCAGCTTCCTAAACTGCTTTTTCTGCATTTGAGTCCCGATTGTCAGAGACGTAGTGGCCACCGAACCGCCATGAACATTAACCAATACACGAGCTCTTCAGTTCCGTTGTTACTAGTTTTTGGACTGAAGAGGGGACCGTTTTGCCTTGCCAACACAGCCAGCTGACTGCAGGGACGGTAGCGATGTGTGCTTCTTTTCGGACTGTATCTGCGAAAGCTCGGTGTGCTCTCTGTAGAAGCCTTCCTTTGCAGTGTCAACACCAGCCGAGCCTGGGAGAAGCCCTGAACTCCAGTCAAAGTTTATTCAGCACAGACTGGCAGAAGTTTCCACAGAGCTGGGTGTTCAACTGGCTCCCACTGAGCAAAAAAAAAAAACGATTTCTTTGTCCTTCAGCCATTGCTGGATGTCTTCATCACTGTTATAAAGTCAGATCTACAGTTATTTGCATTTATTACATCTTTATATAAATGAATTATTTGGACCTTTTCGGACCTGTAAGAACAGAAAAAAAAGCAAGTCAGTCTCACCCACTAAAGAAAACAAGTTCTGCTAAGATGCCGATTGTAACATTTTCCTAAATAGGAATGAAAAAGTAAATTAAGATATTTGTAGCTCAAATTTCTGGGGCATATCTCCCAGTGATGGCCAACTTGATGTGTAGCAGGATGGGGGTGACTACGCTGGTGGTGTCTCCATTAAAGAAATACACACAGTTCTCCTTTGTTTTAATTCACTGGACTGCTTAAGACTACTCCTGCTTTCAAAGACCCATTGAAATGTCAGGTATTCATTTTATCGCCATGCAGATCTCATGTCAGGCTTAGCCATACCTAGAAAAGAGCCACTTTATGTATCACTCACAGCATATAATAGGAGGAGATGTATAAGATACAGTATGTGAAAAGCATCCTGATTCTTAAAAGACTTGGACGCTCTTAGAGCACAGCTAGTGCAGCAGCCTATTCAAGGGAGAGAGCTGATCAGCATCCCAGCTCGTGTGTGAGAGTGGAGGGCTGCAGGAGTCCCACCTGGGTGGCGTGAGCCAGGCTGGCCGCGACGGGCGTCCCGCTCTGCTTCAGCGCCCCGTACCCCCGCCGATCCACAACCAGCACGTCGAGGCGGGGCCCGGCCTCTTTCATCCTCCGCGCCACCTCTTCCAGCGGCTCCTCCGCCACGCTCTGTCCGTTCACCTCCACCACCACGTCCCCCGCCCTGAGCCCCGCCCGCTGGCCGGGGCCTCCCGCCGCCACCTGCAGGGCGGGGCTGTTACTGTTCTGACGCACCAGGCGGCAGGGCCAAACTCACTAACACCTGGATGATGAGACGGCAGCCATAGTGCGCCAGAATGCTCTCCACACACCAGCTCTCAGTGGGAGGAGAACAGAGGGATGAAGCCAGTTCAGAGATGGGGTCAATTAGGAGGCCATGATTGGTAAGGGCCAATGGGAAATTTGAGAGTCAGGACCTCGGCTTTATGTTGCAGCTGATAGCACCTTTTTTACAGTATAGTGTCCCTGTCACTATACTGGGACATTAGGACCCACACAGGCTGCAGGGTGAGCGCCTCCTGCTGCCCCCACTAACACCACTTCCAGCAGCAACCTTAGCTTTCCCAGGAGTCTCTCATCCAGGTACTGGCCAGGCTCCCACCTGCTGAGCTTCAGTGGGGCTGCCAGTTATGAGTTGCAGGGTGATATAACTGTTGGCACTTTTTTCTTAATATTTTCACTGATGGTTAGCTGGAACTGCATTTAATGAAATAGTGAAGTATGGTTTTCAATTGTAAATGCTGCAGTGATTCATTTTCTAATGAGATTCATAATCTATTCATTTGCGAACAGAGGGATGTTAACTCTACTGTATATACTGTCAGCCTGCAGGTGATGCATTAGTCTTCGATTAAACTGGGCATGTGATGAGTTTTCTATCATTCTTATTGGGCACTATAAACATTTCTGTCTATGGAAGAAAAACTATCAAGCAAATTTCTGAACTAATAAACCAAACAATTACGCAAATTGGTGAACAACCCACTGTGCTCTTGTACATTCACTGCCAGGCTGGCGGTTTGTTCACAAGTACAGTACCTGGCCTATGCATGTTCCTGGCTCATCCTGGACACAGCTAAGGCGGAAACCAAAGCCCTTGGGACCTCTTTCCAGTTGACAGATCCGTGGGAGTGGGAGTTCAGAGTGCGCTTCATGCGGTGGCCCAGCAGGTGGCGCCGCGAGAGCAGGAGGCGGCACTGTCTTCTCCTTCTCGGGAGGGTCGTCCTCATAGAAAAGCAAGGGCGACAGACCCAGCTAGCGGAGCACAGAAAGACCCAACAGACATCACAGGACAAGCAAGAGAACCAACACGCAAGGAAGGTGACACAGATGTTTAACCACAGCTAAGGGGGATGGAACAAGCTACCCAGGCATGCTGTTGAAGCCAATACCCCAGCTAAGGTCAAGAAACAGTTTGAAAGATCCTTGGATCCTTGAATAAATAAGCTAAATGGGCTGAATAACCTCTTTTTTGCATCCTTACTGCTGTTTCCATGTTCAACTAAAAAAAACAAAGCTGGGTTTGCATCTTTAAGCAGGCATTGGGATGAAACTGATGTGGGGTTTATGATCATCAGCAAAAGCCAGGCTGACTGATGAGTGGAAACCGTGTCGCGGGCTGACTGGCAGTGAGATCCCATGCCCCCCAGCTCACCTGGTAGTAGTAGTCGCCGCCCTGGCTGTCGATGGCGGTAAAGGCGACCCGCCGGCCGCTGGAGCGCACTCGGCTCACCACGTCCTCGTGCTCCAGCCCCTCCGCCGCCTCGCCGTTCACCGCCAGCAGCTGGTCGCCCTCCCGCATGCCGGCGCGCTCCGCTGGGCTGTCGGGCTCCACCTCCCGCAGGGCGTGAACTGCAGGGGGCAGAGGGCGGGACCAGCAGCTCGACACCCCAGACCCGTCCGGCCGGCGGCTCCGTCACTGCGCTCACCTCCTCATCCCGCTAGTGCAGCTATTTAGGCTGTTCTCACCTACTAACCCCCTGGAGAGCCCACGCCAGCTCTTACACTGTATCAGTAACTTAAGCCTTAACGGAATAGTATGACAGAAGTGTAATTAGGAAACGGATGGGGGTTCATTATCTAATTAAAAGAGCTGGGCAGAAAACCTGATGACACTGTGGTGGCGAGGACAAGGACTGAGGAACCGCCCTTCTCTCTACTGGCTTCCATTCGTTTCTCACACGTTTTTTGTGCCTGTCCTTTGTGAATTATACAAAGGAAAAAAGGGGTTAAATTGGGTAAGGGGTAAGGAATAAGGTTTGCTCACGCTAACTCCTCGTTTATTCCTTTTCTCAGTCTCTGTTACTCATGGCTCACACTTCCCTGAAGGCCTCACTGCACGTGGCCTCTACAGCAGTGAACCCCAATCCTGGTGACTCACACACCTATCCGGTTTTGTTCCAGCTGAGCCCTCAGTTCCACAGCCAAACCCTCCAGTGACATATTGATAATAGGATGCACTTGAACTGTCTGTTCCCAGCTGTGAACCATGTTGGAGCTATAACCGCAGTATTGTGGAAGTGGAATAAAATCCCAAAGTCGTGACGACAAACAAAATGCAGAAATTTCAGATGAAGTATCGTCTTAGATCACGTAAGGCTTCAGTTACTGTACCTAACAAAGGTGGGATGAAGTGAAAACTGGCGCGTGGTGAACAGCACCAGGATTGGGTACCATCTGCTGTAGAAGATTGTGCAGTACACACTACAGTCCAGCAGAGGGCGCCCTCCCCCTTCCCTCACCTATCCGCCCGGAAGGCATCTTCTCTTGGCGCAGCAGGAAGCCATACCCGGCAGGGCACTGGACCAGATGTAGCGTCCGGGGTCGGTGGGGCAGATTGTGAATCTCCGCCATGGCGGGGAAGATGGACACCCCACGCCGGGCGTAGCTTTGCTCGCTGGCACTCTCGATCACCAGCACGGTTACATGGCCCACGCACGTCCTGATCTGAGCAACAGAGCCGAAGATGAGCCACTCGAAATTCATTAATTAATCAATCAATCAATCAATCGCAGGAATGTCAGTCAAAATGTCAGTCTTGGCTGGTCTGAGCATTCAGGCACTTCCATGATTTAAAACAGAGCACTGTTTTCACTTTTTAACACTTACTAACTGTAGCTGCAGACATTAACCCAAAACCTATTCAATCTTTTTGCGTGGGTAATTAGTTGCCTGTTGTGTCGTCAGTAATTGTATTTCCATGTGTAACCTCCCATGTGCGCTGTCATGATGTAAATAACTCTATAATAAAATAAGTGTGAAATGAAAGATGAAAACAGAAAATTTAAGTTGTATTTGTTCTGCCTGCAAATCCTTTTAATCGTTAAATACGTTTGTTTTTTTTAATATTTAGATTACAAGCCCCCTCCCAGAATTTATATTTATTCATCTTCCTGACAAATGTCGTGAATGGCTCTTTGGATTTTGGTATTACAGTCAGTATGGGATACAAATTCTTGCCAGAAGAAAGCAGCCAAGTTTCCACCTTAGAAACCCACCATTTAATAACTATATACTTTACAGGGACCTAAAGACTACTTACATACAACCCGATGTGCAATATCTCTGTAAATATCACGATCTATTATAATTGGGCTGTGGCTCTGTGATAGCCTTCCAAGGCAATTGGTTCATTGGGACAGAATAGCGACAGAGTGGCCGTACCATCTTGCTGAGGGCGGAGTGAGTGAGGTCTGACGCGGAGGCTCCGTTGATCCAGAGCAGTCTGTCTCCGGACCTCACTCCTGCCTTCTCGGCTGGCCCCCCCGCCATGGTGGTCACACAGAACTTGCCCTTCCTTCCTGCCAGGAAGAGGTCAACACTAGCCATTGTGTAGCCAACTGCGTCATGGTGGGGTTCAAGCCCCCCCATCATGCTGAATCTCAAACCACAGGTTGGCAACCATCATACAGGGCCTCACATTTCAGAATACTTTCAGGGGGAATTGCAAGTGCACCGGAATTAAGACACAGCAGACTAACTTGCTGTTTAGATCTCATCTTCTTCACCAATTATCGATGTGAGGGTTAACAATCCGTTCAACAGCAGCAGGTGAGCCCATCTGAACAGCTGTGATCCCACCAGAAATCCATCACAAGCTGGTCACAAGCTGGGGCGTTCCTGGTGCTCCACTACTGAAGTAAATGAACACATCTGCCCCTTTGGGGCTCGAACAGTCGAGGGTTGAAGATTGCAGCTGGGGATTACCCCAGTCAGGACTGGTGAAGGTTGTTCTCAGCCAGGAGCAGTGAACTCAGCTTGTTGGGTCTGGATTACGATCCAACAGGGATTTGGGGGTTTCAGACAGAAGCATGGCAAGTGTTTGAGATGCCTGTATCGATTAACGACCAATAACGCTTTTTATATATGATACATTTATAAATATAATCCACACCCAAAGAAGGTTCGACAACAGAAACGTTGTGTTTCTTTTCTGTTCTATTCAGCGCGGAATAAACCTTTACTTGTTCCTGTATGAATATACTGTTCAAAAGTTGAGGCAAAAAAAACAACGATGGCCTATTTTTACTGATGTCACTATTTACAGATTTAGTCATGGTTGAACCAAGGACAAAAACCTCAAAATAATATAAAAAGTAAGATAAATCACAATAACTTTTGAAAACTCATTTTTTTAACCTACTAATAAGTTTAAAGAATGTAATCTTTGGAAAACGGAGGTTTTGTACTATTTTTTTGGTTTTTAAATTTTGCTATTTTATTCAAGAAGATTTATTGCCTCGTCGTCGGCAGAGCAGGCTGTATATCTGTACCGTCGACAGCGGAGACGGTGAATCCCAGGCCGGCGCCGTGCTCCCTGGTGACGTGGCAGAGCCGCGGTCGCGTAGTTGCCTCTCCGCGGTGTTCCCGTGCCAACGCGAGCAGGTCCCGCCCCTCCGCCAGCGCCTGCTCGTACTCCCCGCCCCCCAGCACCAAGAGCGACACCTGCTGGCCGCTGGCCTGGATCTTCCTCACCACCTGACGGACGAAGCAGAGGCCGCAGCGCCCGGCGGGCATGAAGGAAGGACGACTCATGGGTACATTCATGGGGACATTCACTCATTCGGCGGATGGGTTTTATCCAAGGCGATCTCTAATCCCAGCCGGGCCAGATGCAGTGGGTGCATCCGTTAATGGATAAGATGCTGCACAGCGCTAAGCAGTTATACTGCTGCTTGACCAACAGGGAGCAGTAACGTAAGGGTCAGTAAGTGGGGGTTAATCACAGGCTTCTGGAGTTAGATATATCCTACAGAGATGGGATTCCAGTTTCTTATGGAAGACTGTGAGCGAGTCTGGGGTTCTGACGGTGGCAGATAGGTCGTATCACCACCAGGGGGCAGCAGAGACAACAGTCGGGCCCCCAGCGCCCTCAGTGCCCAAGCACGAGCACCACAGAAGCACGGGAGGAAGGCACTAAGGTTTTGCACTGACGAGGGCCGCGACCGGAAGCTAGTGTAGAGAGAGCAATTTGTAAAAACGGTAAAAACCGGGGGAGACGTTACTGGATCCGAACGCTTGTTCGGCCGAGCTCCAGAGGCCGTGCTCACCTTCCAGTGCTCCTCTGTGTCCACGAAGTCCTGGTTGACCTCCAGGAGCCGGTCGCCGTCCCTCAGGCCGCTGCGCTCCGCCACGCTCCAGGGCTCCACCTCCCTGACCATGTGGCCCCGGAGGCCCAGCTCCAGCCGCAGGTAAAACCCGAAGCTCTCGCCCTTCTCGCGCCTCATCTGGCAGAGCCGCGGCGTGGGGCCGCTCTCCCTCTCTGAGGAGAGGAGGAGGACAGGTGGACGGCGGTAATAGCAGGAAAACCAAGCGGCTCTCTCCGGGAGAGAGAGGAACATCTCCGGAGATCAAAGGCCTCGATCTTGCCCGAGATGCATCTTGTGGATTATGCTATTACTGTATTTCAATGACCACCTGGCAGAAGACTTGGGAGAAGTGTTGAATTCATTCAGAGCACAGGTGGACTGAAAACTGTAAAGTGCCCGCATCTGCCAAAGATCAGATTGAGCCACCTGACATACAGTCATGTCAAATAACCACTGAACACTGCATAACCACCACTCAGTGATCACCACACACTCAGTGACCACCACACACTCAGTGACCACCACACACTCAGTGACCACCACACACTCAGTGACCACCACACACTCAGTGACCACCACACATTCAGTGATCACCACACACTCAGAGATCACCAATCACTGATCACCAATCACTGATCACCAAACACTCAGCGATCACCAGACACTCAGTGATCACCAAACAATCACTGATCACCAAACACTCAGCGATCACCAGACACTCAGCAATCACCAGACACTCAGTGATCACCCCTCAGTTATGGCCAAACACTCAGTCATCACCAGACAGAAGTTTGTGATCTGCAGAGCAGTAATTCATACACCCAGAGGGAACTACCAAGACATTAAAAGTGACAAAAAAGAAACACTGGACATTAACAAATTAACAAACACATCTGTGTTTGTCGAAAGCCAGAGTCATATTTCACAGTGAGTATAAATGTTCTGCAGATTGCAGCTTAAAACTAAAAACTTTGTGACTTTTTCTGCTCAAACTAAATTTGTTGAGTGTGAAGCAAATGTGACAAACGTGTCAGTATCTGCTTTGTGACAACTCTGGGAGCTACCTGGGTCATCAGTGATCACCAGGGCTGGGTTATCAATCCCCTCCTTAGGATTAAAGGTAAATTTTCTGGAGGAAAGAAAGAAGAGAAGAAAGCAGATAAAAGCTTGCGTTATACATTATGTTTTAAGTTTCAGCATTAATATTTCATTGCACGGTTGTACTTATCCATCCATCCATTTTCTTACCACTTAATCCAATTCAGGGAGCTGGAACCTATCCCAGCAAGCAACAGGGCACTAGGCAGGGTACACCCTGGACTGGATGCCAGTCCATTGCAGGGCACACAGACAAGCACACACACTCACACTGGGGCCAGTTTTCCCAGAAGCCAATTAATAAT